ATACGGTTATCAATAAGAATTACATAATCTATAACATCATCCAGAAGAACAGGCAATTCCCTGGATGCTATTTCATCCAGTATGTAGGCGGCCAAACCCTCCTGAAAGGCTGTTACGAGGGCGTCATTATTCCAAACCACTTCAGCTGCTAGAGTGCGGCATTCGATAGTATAATCCGCTACAGATCTGTTACCCTGTTGGACCCTAAGCAGAGCTTTGCCAGCAGAGGCAACCCTACCGGGTTGATCAAACGTACGTTTGAAAGCTGTCAAGAAATCTGCAAAGTACATAGGAGACGTATTCTCCCACATGGGGTTAGCCCATGCTAAAGCTTTCCCGGACAAGCGGTTTATCAAAAAGGCAATTTTGGATCTGTCGGTGGGATAGGAACGTGGATTCATCACCAAATGAATATCAATTTGGTTGAGGAAACCACGACACAATGCTGGGTCACCGCTGTAGCGCTGTGGGGGCGTCATATGAATAACATGAGCAGGAACGGGTACCGGAGTGGGAATGGGTTCGGGCACAGCAGCAGCAGCCTCCTGAATGGCAGGTTGCAAGTGTGCAGTATGAGCCAGTATGGTTTGTAAAGCTTGGGCAAACTGATCCATACGGTGGTCTAAACCATCCATTCTAGCCTCCTGATTAACTAGGAGCTGTGGAATGTCAGCAGGTTCCATTATGGCCCTGTTGTAATGTCACGATTCGGGGAACCTAACACGCCAACACACACACACACAAAGTGCCGTACCGGACCTTAGAGTGGCCGGGCTAAGCACACAAAGAATAGTCAGAAAACAAGCCGAGTAAGGGGAACCAGAAGACAGAATAACGATAGACAAGCCGAGGTCAAAGGGTAGGAGAAAGTCACAAAGTCGGATAAACAAGCCAGAGAGTACGTAACCAGAAACACAAGTTCAGAAGTAATACTAGCAAGTAAAGACCACAACAGGGTGGAGAGGAACAGGAAAGGTAAGTATATAAATCCATAGGTTAATTCTGATTGGATAATTTCCAATCAGAATTAACAATCACACGTGGGAGATATCTAAACCTCCCACTGTGATTGAGACACTGTGCCTTTAACGCCGGGTCAGGTGACTGACCCCGGCGTTTGTTAAAACGGGCGGTCTCCCAGCGTGCAGCGTCATGCATGCTGCCGCTGGGGGACACAGAGGAAGACGCGGGCAGCATCAGTGGCTGGGAGGATGCCGCCCGCTGAGCACACGCCAGGAAGGGGACCGCGGACGGCTGGAGGGTGAGTGCCGCGAGCGGACTGCAACCTCCCCTCACAGCCGCCCGCGGGACCCTGACAGAAAGGCTCTGTCAGCGGCATTGAAAGACTCTCTGAGGGGCATTGAAATTATCTGTTAGGGATATTAAAAGGCTCTGTAAGGGACATTAAAAGGCTTTGTCAGGGGCATTGAAAGACTCTGTCAGGGGGAAAAAACTGTTAACTGTATTTTTCAAAGTGCTCAAATCTTTTTGCTCCAAGTCCAACTCAAAGATCCTGCTTAAGTTTAGTTCTTTCTAAGAGCATCATCAAAATCAGCATCCTGGGCGGCGTGGCCAGCCGTGCAACAGAGCAGACGTGTTTGCAGGGAGCTCCTGCTAAACACACCGAAGAAACCCCTAAAAAAACCTCAAAAAGCACACAGCTCAACTCTATAACTGGGCTGGGGTAACACTGAACCCCCCAAAAGAGAGATGGGGCGCAAGCACCGCAAACTGCTGACAGCGGAGGCGTCCAAACTGCCTGATATCAGGAGATTATTCGACAGACCGCGGCAGACTGGACAGCCTAAGATGGCGTCTGCCAGACCTCGATTCTCCAGTGAGTCGGAGATGTCCCCAGATGAAGAGAGATCGATAACAACACAGACCCCGAGCGGAGTTTACCAAAGAGAGGACTCAGACATGTCGCCCTCTACTAAAGGGGACATAAAAAGGCTCCTGCTCGAGCTCTGTGGGGTCTGGAAGAAGGACTTGGACGGAGTCAGTGGCAGATCCAGAGCCTGATCTCGGGAGGGGCACTTGTAGATTATTTAAAGAAGTAATCCAGACACAATAACTACTACAGCTCAGTGTAGTGGTTATGGTGTCAATAGTGCCGGGACCCCCTCCTAGAGTAAGTAGTCAAACCGTTTAAGAACAGTTTGACAACTTACCTGAGGTCTGCTGGGAAATGGGGCGGTAGTAGGGCATTGGAGCAGTGGTGTGTGTGAGTGGTGCAATGTGTAAGGGGTGCAGTGTGTGTGTGTGTGAGGGGGACAGTGTGTGAGCAGTGTGTGTGTGTGTGTGTGAAGGTTGTAGTGTGTGAGTAGGGGGGGGCAGTGTATGTCAGGGATGCAGTGTATGTGTGGGACAGTATGTGTGTGTAACAGTTGCAGTGTGTGTGTGAATGTGGGCAATGTGTGTGTATGGGGCGGCAGTGTATGGGGGCAGTGTGTGTGTATGCGGGGCAGTATGTGTGTATGAGGGCAGTATGTGTATGGGGGGGCAGTATGTGTGTATGGGGGGGCACCATGGGGGGCAGTATGTGTGTATGGGGGGGCAGCATGGGGGCAGTATGTGTGTATGGGGGGGCAGCATGGGGGGGCAATATGGGGGCTATGTGTGTGTGTGTGTTAAGGGTAGGGGGGGATTTTTTAAAATAATATATATCTTTATTTAATTAAAAAAATATATATATTCTATGTCCCCCCTCCCTTCTTACCTTTATGGAGGAGGAGGGGGGACATATTTTCATCCCTGGTGGTCCCAGTGGTGATTCCCTGGTGGTCCCAGTGGTTACAGTGAACTCTAGCCCGCGCTCCCGGGCTAGAGTTCACTCTCGCGAGATTTGGAGTGTTGCCGTGGTAACCGCGGCAACGCTCCAAATCTCGCGAGAGGAGGACCCGGAGGAGCTGCAGACTGAGCTCCCGGGTCCTCCCTCTCCCTCCCCTGCCGGCTGTCAACACAGTGTCTGCGGACCGGGGAGGGAGATCTCTGATCTCCCCTCCGGTCCGCAGGCACATTGCAGGGCTAGCACCTGCATGTGCTGACAGGGGAGGGAGACCGGCGGATTTCTCGGGGGGGCAATTGCCCCGTTGCCCCCCCCCCCCTGGATCCGCCAGTGGACGGAGTGCGTGGAGAGATGGGCGGCATCTTGGCCAGACTAGGAGCAGTGGAATCCAGAGAGGCAGAGAGAGACGACAGCCTCACTGAGACCCGCACTAACGTAGCAGACCTCTCCCAGCAGCTCCAGCGATTCACCTGCGCCGTCAGTAACCTAGAGGCCAGGCACAGAAAGAAAAACATACGTATAAGAGAGGTGCCAGAGACGGTGGGACCAGAGTCAGTGCTGGAGTTTGCCAACAAAATGGCCATCGTGATGGAGGTGAGGGGAGAAAGAGGGCAGCCACCAATATCCTCTGCTTTTCGAATTGGGAAGGCCGCAATGGCACCTGTGGACATTTTCGTTGTCACCCGGAGCCCGGCAGTGAAGGCAGCGATGCTGACCAGCTCACGGAGCACACTCCTTATAGCGGTGGAGAATTGACAAGTGTGAATCTTCGACAACTTACCCTTTGCTGTCCTACTGGAGAGACGCAGATTTCAGCCGGTCACCAAACTCCTCAGGGACCATGGGGCGCATCAGGTACACTGGTGTGGTACACGAGTGTGGCGATGGCAAAACGACAGCCGATGCATCAGCGCCCTCCATAGGTGAGATAACCCTGAGGGGAGGCCACTACTGAGTCGACAAATGGGACTAGGCATAGGCTCAAACGGCACTCAAACCCACTTAAATATCATAAGACTGACTTTATTAGATGGCTTTTTTTTTTTTTTTTTTGCTTTTTCTCTCCCTTTTTGACCCCCAGATTTGACCCCCCCCAGTTGATTTTCCCACAACCGCACCAACTAATTCTGCTCCACAGAGAGACACTTACTTTGTGTGTGGTACTAGCATGCCCCATCGACTTAACTTTAACCACAAGAGTTGATAATGAGTCCTACTATTGTGTTTATATTGTCCCCAACAGAGGGGTTAACGTATATTTTCAAAGTGTTAACTTTAATTCTATATGAGTAACTAAACAGAACTATTAATATGTTTGACCTAGCCTCACAAGAAGAGCCCACAAGCGTTACCGTAATGTCTTATGTGAACCCCACCTGAATTCAACTTACATGATACTAAGTTGTCTAGCATAACATTGCAGGGGGTGCAAACTTATTTTTAATTACACAAGAAATGCCAGCAGGAAGCACCACAGAGTTAATCTTCTAAACACACAAACGCGGCCAGCGAGCTTCCAAATTTTATACGAGCCGCTAACAAGATACCCTAGATTGCAAACTATGAACCCGCTGGGGCCGTGGACATACCATTATAACCTATAGGTCGCAAGTCCAATTAACCTGACAGCGAGTGAAAACCACAACATACACTGTAAGCCCGCTGGAACAGCTGACATGGCACATTAAATAATTAATTATAAGCCCATGGGTGCCGTTGCGAGCTCTATCATAATGCAAACTTTAAAGCCCCATAATGTGTTCACTTACGGCCCCCAGAGGCAGCTAGAGAGCCACGTCATATAATACATTTCACATATACAAGAGCGGAGGGTGGGAGATACCGACCCAGGTGTTATATGCTTGTTGTTAACCGGAGATGCCTCTTTGATCCTCCACCGCTACCCGAGATGTTAATGTGCTCAATCAAGAGTGACTCGTGTATACCACTGCTTAATGTTGTGTTCACTTTTTATCCTTATGCATTGGATGATTGTGTGTTAATACCAAAACCAGTGGAGATTCTCTACAACAACAACAACAAAAAAGTGTTTTGTTTTTTTACCAAAAGGCAACCATGAATTTGAAAAGCTGATTAAAGCATGGAACTCTTCAGAGAAAAATTATTACTACTTCTACCTGTTCGGCACTTATAGAAACTGAGAAAGAAGATACAACTAAAAATCCAGAAAACATGCCCTAAATAGTTGTACCTACTGTTCCTCAAATAGCAGAGACAAGTGACAAGTCAAAAAAAAAAAAAGAAAGAAAAGCACACAATGCTAGCCAATCTTCTTCTCAATCAAAGAAATGAAAATATGGTGATAGCTACTTGTCATTTGGATTCACAAATGCCAGAAATGAAGATTGTCCTGAAGCACAATAAAATATTGCCAAGCACCTGCTAAATTACATCATCATTTTGAGAAAAAACACGCAAAGTACAAAGATAAAGACATTGACTTTAAGCGAAAGCTAAAAGAGTATCAGAAGAGTAAACAATTTATGAGCAAAAAATTTCAAAATACTAATGAAAAAGCCACAGAGGCTACTTACAGAATGAGTTACCACATATAACTTGCAGGAGAAGCACAAACAATTAGAGAATCACTGATAAAACCATGTGCAAAAGGAATAGTGTCATGTATTTTAAGTGAGAAGATAAGTAAAACAATTGAAGCTGTACCACTTTCCAACAACACAGTTTTGCACCGTATTCATGATCTTGCTGACATCCACACTGAACTAATTTCTCGACTGCATTAATGTGATGGATAGTCACTGCAATAAGATGAGTCCACAGATGTTGCAGGACTTTCAATTTTGTTGGTTTTTGTTAGATATAATTTTGCCAAATAGATTGAAGATAACTTGCTTCTGTGTGAAAATCAAACACTTATACCACTGGTGAGAACATCTTTAACTGTATCAGAAGTTCATGAACACACACTGTATAAATTTGGACAAATGTGTAGATGTGTGCAGTGATGGTGCCAAAGCGATGTTTGGGAAAGTGGCAGATGCTGTGACACGAATAAGAAATGTAGCAAACAACAGCACCGCATAGAATAGAGGTTTACTGGAGTGCAGGCGAATGAGTTATAAAAATATATATATTTAATATATTCAAAAAATTATGTTTTTTGAGAGAGATAGATAGATAGATATAGAGAAATAAATATTTATTTATTTTATATAAAAAAGGGTTCCCAAAAGGTAGATCACCAGATGTTTTTAAACTACAGCTTATACAATGCTTTGCCATTCTAAAGGCATGCAAAGCATCATGGGAGTTGTAGTTCTACAACATCTGGGTAGCTACCTTTCGTGCACCCCTGCTATAAACTATACAAAATCCAGTACACTCACCCAGAAGCTTAAACGTTTTGAAAAATATAATTGTTTTTTTTTAAAACACAGGAATGAAGAAAAAATAGAGGTTCTCTAGCTACAGTATATGGTCATCTGCATCAGCTTGTCACAAAGTCAATGTGTCCAATAATGTAAGCACATTTAAGAGAGTGCAGATTCAAGGTTTCATATATATGTGCTCCATGAATGTTATAAGTGATTTTATATATTTTTATTTTTTCTAACAAAAGTTACTATAATGCATGGCTTGACAAATTTGTTTGGAATCTAGGAGTCAGCTAAAATGTTAGGAGCCAGTCTTTTTAACCCCTTAAGGACACATGACATGTGTGACATGTCATGATTCCCTTTTATTCCAGAAGTTTGGTCCTTAAGGGGTTAAACGAACAAAGCTTCATTTTGAAAAATGAAAAACACAATTCTTAAGGGGACACTATAGTCATCAGAACCACTGCAGCTTAATGTAGTTGTTCTGGTATCTGTAGCATGTCCTTGCAGGATTTTTAATGTAAAGACTACCTTTTCAGAGAAAAGACAGTGTTTACATTGCTGTCTTGGGACACCTCTTGTGGCAGTCACTCACGCTTAGTTTCAGCCTCTGTACGGAGGCGCTGAATGTTCCCCATAGAGATGCATTGATGCAATGTATCTCTAGGAGGAGATGCTGATTGGCGCAGCACAGCCTTTTCTGCACATGCGCAATATCCTCCTAAAGCATTGACTTAAAGATTGATAATATACACCATGGAGGAAGGACCAGCCATAGGGGCGGGACCAGCTGCGGCAAAGCGTAGGAAAAAAGGTGAGTAAAAACACCTTTCCCATGTGATCGGTGAGGGCAGGTACCTAAACAGACACAGAGACAGACAGGCACACACACACACAGACAGACACACAGTTTATGAGAAATTCACATATGAACATTTCAATTTTCTTTTATGTCCACCCAGCCTCCATACCTTTGGGAGAGCTGAGTGGATCTTTCGCTGTGGTCCAGAGGAGCTGCTGTCTAATCTTCCTTCCTTTCCTCTGAGCCCCCTTGCACGATCTCTGTAGTGATGCCAGGACCCGAATGATGTCATATTCCAGCTCCTGGAATCACTAAACAGTGCGAGGGAGCAGTGAGGAACTGCAGGAGGATTACTGCTCCCTCGCACATTGCCTCCCATGCAACCCCAGGCAAGCGGCCGGCCCCCTCTCATGCTACCCCATGCAGGTGGCTGGTTTCCGCGGGCTAGCGGCCTTCACTAAAGGTCTGCCAGGATAAGATTTCTAGTCGCCATGGCGACCTGGGATTTGTCGAGCCCTGCTCTAATAGAAAAATATATTAAGTGTATAAATGCACTGAAGCACAAAGAAGCTCCCCTACGGAGATTCTTATCCCTGAAATTCCTCGAACCCACAACAATGGACAAACAGTAGGAAGTGAAGTAGACTGATCTACAGGGACATGGAGAGGGGTATATATAACAGCGACCCTCTCAGTGTCCTTTAGAGAGTGTGTTAGAAAGAATCTCCTCCAGGCCCCATTAGAGACTACAATGGAGTCTAATAGGCTTGGAAGGGGGTCTTTCTAGCAGAGGCTATCTCAGTGTCCTTTAGAGACTATGTTAGACGGAATCCCCCCAAGGCCGCATTAGAGATTATGATTGAGGGCTAATGGGCCACAGAGAGGGGTCTTTCTAGCAGAGGCTAAGTGTCCTTTAGAGAGTGTGAGAAAGAATCCCCTCCAGGCCCCATTAGAGACTACAATGGAGTCTAATGGAGCCTGGAGGGGGGTCTCCCCAACACTCTGGTTCCTATTAACAATATAGCAACACAACATAGCTCGCTGATACCTAGGCCAAGTTGGCTCCTCTTACCTCAATTACGGTTGCTGGTTGGCAGTCTGTGAGCTTGGTGGCTGCGGCTGGCAGGCTGTGGGCTTGCTGGCTGCGGCTGGCAGGCTGTGGGCTTACTGGCTGTAGGCCTGTGGCTTGCTGTAGGCCTGTGGTCGGCTGTGGCCGGCTGCTGGCCTGTGGGTGGCTGTGGGTAGCTGCTGGCCTGCTGGCTGGCCTGTGGTGGCTGGCTGGCTGGCCTGTGGTGGCTGGCTGGCTGGCCTGTGGTGGCTGGCTGGCCTGCTGGCTGACTGCTGGCCTGTGGGCGGCTGGTAGCCTGTGGGTGGCCTGGCCTGTGGGCTGGCTGGGGGCCTGTGACTGACCTGTGGGCGGATGCTGGCCTGTGGTGGGCCGGCTGGCTGGCCTGTGGTAGGCCGGCTGGCTGGCCTGTGGTGGGCCGGCTGGCCTGTGGTGGCCGGCTGCTGGCCTGTGGGCGGCTGTGGCTGGCTGCTGGCCTGTGGCTGACCTGTGGCCGGCTGCTGGCCTGTGGGCTGGCTGGCCTGTGAGCTGGCTGGCTGGCCTGCGGGCAGCTGCTAGCCTGTGGGCGGCTGTGGCCGGCTGCTGGCCTGTGGGCTGGCTGGCCTGTGGGCTTGCTGTTCGGCCTGTGGACTGGTGGCCTGGGGCTGGCTGTCCTGTGGGCTTGCTGGTGGCCTGGCACCTGTGGGCTGGCTGGCCTGTGGGCTGGGCAGCTGCTGGCCTGTGCCATCGGACCGAAGTGCCCGACCGGTCAGTCCACCCCTGACCATAGGCAACGGTACATACAAATACACCTTTACATGAACACAAACATACTCCATATGAAAACTTTCTTACATTCAAATGCACAAACACTGCTCACAAATACAACCCTGTAAGGATAAGCAAATGGTAGATTCTCAGCTGACATAGCATTGTGGGAGTTGTACAACGAATGGGGATTTACTTCTTGGCCACCCTTGTCCTAGAGGGGGGCCCACACAAATGTCCTCTCTACATTAGTTCTGCCATTGCCCCAACCCACCATCAGAAGTAATGCTATGGCCTACAAGAGTCTGAACAACTCTTTCTTGGCCATGAGGACTGTTGACACCTCTTCCACTGCTGCCACCTCCACTAATTATAGCCTCAGAATAGTTTAATATGCGGACTATCCACTACGTCTGACTAACCACCCAGCTGGCAATTGGATTTTTTCAGCCTTATCATGCTGCAGTAACTTTTCTGTAGCTTGCATTAAGACTACAACTCATTCTACCACAGCCAGTCCAAGCATTACAGCTTATGTGTTTTATGTTGCTCAGATCTAGGAATCATAAAAAACCAGTGGACTTGTTGCCGTTCCCAGGGCCAGATTAAGAGCCCAGTGGGCCTGGTGCTGACAATTATGACGGGCCTAATTACAGAATCATATCGACCAAAAACAGTAAAACACTCCCAAGCATCATGTATCTGATGGAGATGGTGCTGGAGAGAAAGAAAACAGCAGCTATAAGACAACACATACCCTAGGCTAATCTCTCTCTAATTTATGTTTTCATCTTTCAAGTAAATCTATAACTCCTAACAGCAGTGTCCAATCAAGCAGGAAGTCAATGGGCACTGTAAAAGGGTGTGCCTCTGACATAAATCACGTAACCTGCCAAAAGGGACGAACAAGCCCAAAAAGAGGATATGTCTGCCCAAAGAATTAGAAGGCCAGCCTGGTATGAATGCATGCCAGGCTGCCTGCCAATCATGCAGCTGGCCAACTAAGGGCATACTATGCAGACAGCACCCTGAGCTTGGCATAAATGCATCTAATGATGCACTCGCTCAACGCTTTCTAAGGACTGTCCCCTAGCACTCGCTGGTCCACTTGTCTCCTTACATTCTTACTAGCAGGCAGAAGCTCCTGGTATATAGTCAGGGACAGAGAAAAGCTGTATGTAGTGAGTGTAGAAGAAAGGGAACATGCCACAGTGTTAGAGAGACCAAAGTCAGCATTACCTTAAAGGATCACTATAGGGTCAGGAACACAAACATGAATTCATGACCCTATAGTGTTAACACCACCATCTAGCCCCCCCTGGGCCCCTCATGCCTCCATAAATATAGCAAAATCTTACTGTATTCAAGCCTGGAGCTGTAACTCTGCATGCTGTTAGACTCAGAAAAACAAGCAGTCTGCTGACATCATTAGCAGTGGTGGCCTAATCCAATCACAGTGCTTCCCCATAGGATTGGCTGAGACTGACAAAGAGGCAGATCAAGGGCAGAGCCAGCATGATTCAAACACAGCCCTGGCCAATCAGCATCTCCTCATAGAGATGAATTGAATCAATGAATCTCTATGAGGAAAGTTCATTGTCTGTATGCAGAGGGAGGAGACACTGAATGTTTGGATGCATTTTAGTCAGCCATGACCCAGGAAGGATCTCTAACAGCCATCTAAGGAGTGGCCAGTGAAATTATCACTAGGCTGTAATGTAAAGACTGCATTTTCTATGAAAAGACAGTGTTTACAGCCAAAAGCCTGACGGTAATGATTCTACTCACCAGAACAAATTCAATAAGCTGTAGTTGTTCTGGTGACTCTAGTGTCCCTTTAACTATATTCATTGTCAGCCAGTCCACACAAGTTTTGTTCCCATCCATCCCTCTTAAGTGTCCATACTTAAATAAGAGTATGTGAAAAGTAGTTAGGGTTGCCACCTTTCTTGGAAAAACACACCTTGCTAATTTGCATAATTAAATATGTATGGATGACATCACATGATGTAAATCACAAGGAGTGACATAAGAGAAAATGCTGTAAAATCACCAAAAAACTACTTAGTTTGATTTTGCTGTATAGATGGATTCCTCCCAGTGGCCCCATGTCTCCCAGTGCCCCCACGTGTCGATTATTCCAGGTCTCAGTGTTCCTATGTATCAGTGTCTCAGTGCCCGATGTCTCCCAGTGTCCCCTAGTGTCGTGTCCCCAGGTCTCCCAGTGATCCTATGTATCACAGTGTCTCAATGCCCCATGTCTCCCTGTGTCCTCAAGTATCCCAGGTTCCCCATGTCACTAGGAAGACGGGAAGACCTGGGGACACGGGGAGACCTAGGGACACGGAGACACCAGTGACACTGGGAGACTACGGGACTCTGGCTGGGATGCATGGGGACACTGGGAAAATAGGGGACACTTGAAGACATGGGGACACAGACACCAGGGACACAGACACTAGAGACACTGGCTGGGGGACATTGAGACATGGGGAAAAGGAGACACCAGGGCCACAGACACAAGGAACACTAGCTTGGAGACATGGGGACATTGAGACACTTGAGGCACTGGGAAACATGGAGGCACTAGGAGATATGGGCACAGTGAGACACTGGCAGACTGGGGGCACTGGGAGACTAGGGGGCACTGAGACACCAGGGACACTGTCTGGGAGACATGGGGACACTGTGTTCCCATGTGTCTGTGTCATAATGTCTCCCAATGTCCCTTAGTGTCTCAGTGTCCCCATGTCTCCTTGCAGCCTTTGCCCCATCCCTTACTTCCCTGAGCTGTAGGCTGTCTCTGCAGGGTGGGAATTGCTGTCTGGACTCTCTGTAACTGCACCCCTGCAGATCAGTGAGTATAGATAGGCAGGGAGGGATATGCTGGAACTTCCTATCCCTGCCTGTCTCCACATACAGCGACCCCTACTGGCCAGTGCTGGTATTGCATAGTAATCTCTTGTTTATACTGAGAAAAATACCAGCATTTGTATTGCCAGTCTCACTGCAATATTGGCACCAGCCAGGCAGCCTCAAATACTGGCTGTGCCAATAAAATAAAAGCCAGTTGGAATCCCTAAGAGTAGTGTGTGGAAAAAAAAATGTAAAAAAAAAAAAAAAAAAAAAAATTTTTTTATTTTTTATAAATCAATGGGCCTATTCCATGGGCCTGGGCCTGGAGCTGCAGCTCCATCAGCCCCTATGTTAATCCGGCCCTGGCCGTTCCCTGTGTTACCCCCTATTTCTTGTAGCCACTCCAAGAAACACTAAGGGAGAGTTCAGCAGAGACTTCATCTGTACCATCAGTGCCACTCTTCACTGGAAAAGTCAAACTGAGTACCAAAGTAGTGTCCCCAATGTTTGCTCATGATGGTGGTCAGCAATCTGGTGATGGCGATAATGCTCTTTCACCCACTACTGCAGATATTTGTTTAAAGTGGCACAAGCATTCCCATATTAAAAAAATTTATTTCATAAATATAAAATCTTTATTAAATACTCATCATGACTGTATTGGAACTTCATTGAAATTTCAACCCAGTCAAGAGAAATACAAATACAAAATAAGAACTGCTTTGTCTCTGTCTTTCTCCTCTGCCTGACTTTCCTTGACACAAGGAGGAGTCTTATAGTCAATCCCTGCATTAGAATTATCTGCAGTAGAATTGCCTCATTTAGTGGAGGAGCATTATCTCCTATTATAAATGGGAGTAGCTCATCCAGTGATATTATTATTAACAGCACCAGCTCCCTACCTGTTACAATGAGTCAACAAAGTACTAGTGTAGAGGTTACTAGGCAATTCCATTGCCACCAATGCAAACCCATCCATTTCTTTATCAGTCACAAGATGAAGGGGTTGAGGGTATTATATTGCATTACTTTGACAGCCATCCAGAAGGGTGAATTTCAAATGATAAATTATGCCACAAGGAAGTGATTGGGGAGAGTAAAAGGTCATCTCACTAGTGCCCATATGACCCATAATATGCATAGGCACCAAAAGACTGCATTCCTGAAAAAAAAAGATAGAATAAGAAGGTCCATTGGTGCCATATCTGACTCTGTGCAACCAACTACCTCTTCCACTATCATCACCCTTGCGCAGAGCATGGGGCTGTTAAATCTTGTGCCACAAGGTGACAGGAAGTGACAGACTCTCAATCCACATCATCCCAGGGATGTGACTGCCAGCTGGTAAAGCCACCCACCTGATTGCCCAGCTGATTACTGTAGGGGCAGATGTATTATCATGTATAGAAGATGTTTCAGGCACTTGCTCCGCAATATGTACATTGATTCACTTTCAGCAGGAAGATCATACCATTAATGTACTAGTCCTGAATGCTACTATTGAAGGATCAGCTGGCTGTAGGTCAGAGGGTGCAATTCACCACAAATTTATGGGGTGGTCCTAGTAGCCAACACACCTTACACTCCTTGATAGTACACTGGTAGTAGCCCACAGTGTCTGGGAATGCTGGTGACAGTTTTGGAGATCCTTGGCAGCATGTCAGGCTGGAAGTGGATCTGTAGGGCAACAAGGCTATCAATCTTTCCTGCTGCATGCTGTAGGCAATCAAACGAATGGTGTCAAATTGTTTGGGAGATCAGACAGGTGTCAATCGTCAGCTTGAGTACATGGTCACCAATGGAGCTGCTAACATTATCAAAGCTCTGCAGCAAGGTCCCATTCTTTGTGCGCTATTCTGCACATACCTTACATCTTACAGTTAAAGGTGCAGTTTAGGAAGCCAACACAAAAGTGGCAACCATGCTTAATTGTTGCAGGAGTATTGCCAAGCATTTCCACTGTAGGGTGAGGGCTAGCCAGCTCAGGATGGAGGAAGAAAAAAAAAGGACTTCCATATACACCAATGATGACAAGATGACATCATCCATTGGAACTCCACTTTAGACATGATGGAAAGAATTTGGAACAGCTGAGGGGAATCCATAGCCTTTCTTCTAACCACTCGATTATCATTGACTCCCCACTGGAGTGTGAGAATTGGACAGTAATACGGTAACTAGCATCAGCTTTTATTTCATTTAGGGGAAAGGGGCTTATCAACACGGTTGTGATCTTTCCAGTGAAAGAGGCATGTTGGTTGAGACAGATGTGCATATTGAACCTACCATTTTGTCATTGTCTACTATTCCCAGCAGCAGAGTGGACAGCATAACCCCGCTGCATTTTGGGCTGAGACTGTTTGCAGTTTGGGGGAAGTAAGTTAGTCACCAAGCAGCCAAAAGGAGACTAGTAATGCCTCTGAGATAGTCATAGCTTACCTGTGTGCATGCTGAGGATACCATTGAAGCATAGTGAGCATTGTTTGCTGTGAAAGCCTCAATATAACAGCTTATCTGCTAGCAGTGTCCTCAAGCTGCCTAGCCAATGCCTAGTGATGGATAGTCCCACCATTCAAAAGCATCAGCCACCTCCTTGAGGCTCTTCCATGGAGCCCTATTTGCCAGAGGGTCTAAAGTATTCTCTTCGCGCTGACAACCCAGGCGTCGGCCAGAGCTCGCATCTGTGGGCCATCTGCATCAGAGTTGTCAGTGCCCGTATTAAAAAGTCTGAACAACTCAGCTTTCCTAGCAGTAGCTGGGAAAGGGATGCTGTGTCTTCTCAGTTCTGCCGTGAGACGTGAGACGGTCCATGATCTGAGAGAAGCAGGGCTAGCAACGTCTGTTGCAGGAACAGGGGTACCAGGCCTAGCGGGAGTGCAGGGTAGCGAGAGTTCCTCGGGGATATCAGGATTAACAGATATAACTGAAAAATATAAGTAAACTTAATCAATCATTCTGTAATGTTTATTTTGGTGGATACTGGTAAGGCTAGCTAAATGCCAAGCGGTGAAACAATTATACTTATGGATGGTGACAGATGAGTCCCTACTAATTGCCAAGTGGCCTGAGAGGCGCTACCTATGCGTTGGCCCGAGGGGAACGTATGAGGCCACCGAACGATGTGGCGGGGTGTTGGCCTCTCGGTGGTATTTAAAGCATAAGATAGATTGAGAGTAACAGGTGAGGCCCTCTCTATGCAACAATGCGAGACGGCTAGCTATGATTTGGCCCGAGGGGTTTATTCCTCCGAGTATGAAGAGAGGGGTGTTGGTCTCGCGGGACCACTATCCTATGGATTAAGACCAGAAACTTTTACCTAGTTGGATGATATAACCTAGGACCAGTACCCCTCAGAACATGGTAGAGGGAAAGATTAATTGGTTCTGGCGTAGTACCTCATATGTGAGTCAGGTTGCACTGTCGAGGTAGAAGTAACCCAGGACTGTAAGAGTCTCAAGATGATAACCTGTTGGATATGAAATTCAACATATGAAAGTGTGAAAAAACATAGTGTTATGGCCAGATCGTGGGCCCTAAGAAGAAAAACCAAGGAACCTACCCGACACTGCAGAGGGTAGATATAATGAAATTGACGACGGTTTTCCGTGCTTGTAAACAACCTAAAAGTAAAAATACATACTTAACTACTGTAATGTGTAACATTAGCCTTCATAACCCAAAATTAAACAATAACCAACCTATAAGAATATTGAATACCACTGACAGATTTCACAATTCCCAGAATGAACCACTGGGATGACTCTGTGGGAAAGACAGATTCAGAAATTCAGGAGCCATCAATTTGTTTAACAATATTCTTATTCAGCATAGATAACCTGCAGTAACATTTGTAACCAGTAGGGACGAAATTCCCATGTAGTACTGGCTGAATTCGAGTTTAATACGTGAATTAGTGTAGCTGCCGAATGAACTATGTAGAGTATAGTAACAACCGAATACATAACCCATAATTAACTAGAGAAACCAATCGAATGATGTTTAAGTATAATTTAACCGAATGTTTATCGTTCGTTTGTTTGAACTTGTGAAACACGCGAATAGCAGAGTGAAAGCATTTAGATGAATGTAATGGTGATCTGATATAACGAACTGAACGTAGATTTGAACCGAACGGGGTGCCGCCGTGCAAAGCAAGGGAATTGCAGTGGTTGCTTTACGGCGGGCCAGACTTACGTTTTTTTCCAAAGAGGACGCACCGAGCGAGCTGTGCGGACGCCGGCGGCGGTGAGGAGAGCCAGGGGAGCCCGGACCAGGAGACCACGAGGGAACAGGTAAGGAAAAATCCAAGATGGCGGTCTGAACTGGAACTAACGTTTCAGACTCGCCAGACCAGCAACGGTAAGGTGGGAGTGGATTGGCAGCCCTTTTAAAGGTGAACCAAGCCCCTCCCATAACTCCAGGCCAAGCCTTCAAATATATATATATATATATATATACCTATTATATTTACACATATTAATGTACATTTATAAATGCATAATACACAGAGAAATTTAACCCCTTCAGGACGGGTGACGGACGAGGTCCGTCACACAGGGGAGACCCTTAACGACGGGTGACGGACCTCGTCCGTCACACGGTAAAATTAACCCCGGATCGCCGCTATCGCGGCGATCGCGGAGTTAATGGTGCTCCCGGTATGCCTCTGCATTGGAGGCATACCGGGAGCACCCGGTCAAGCTGCCCAGCACATGTGCTCGCTCTGACCACAAGTCTGAGCGAGCACATGTGCTCTCTATACTCACCTACCGGCTCCCTGCACTTCCGGGTTCTGTGTGAAGTGCAGGGAGCCGGATCAGTGCTGATCCTGCCCCCTGCTGTAAAAAAAAATAAAGTTTATTTAAAGTCCCCCCCCCCTTACCCATTTTAATAAAAAATTAACCCCTTCCCTGCCAATTGATCACTGACTACAGTGATCAATTGGCAGGGATTACATTTTACTATGATCTGATTTTTTTTTTTAACCCCTGAGGGTTAATTCTTTTTTTTTTAACCCTCAGGGGTTAAATTAATTAAATTAATTAATTAAATTATTTTTAATTATATATTTAGATAGCTGGGGTGGGTGGAAGTTAGTGGGGAATTGGGGGATTTGGCGTTAGGCTAACTAGGGGTTAACGTTAAAAAAAAGTTTTAAAAGAAACTTTAAAAAGTTAAAAATTAAGCTTAAAAAAATGTTTTAATAACATTTAAGTAAAAAAAACAAAAAAAACACTTTACCTAGTCCAAATAAAAATTAACCCCTTCCCTGCCAGTCGATCACTGCCTACAGCGATCAAATAGAGATCACAGTATTATACTGTGATCTAATTTTTTTTAACCCCTGAGGATTAACTTTTATTTATTTTTTTAACCCTCAGGGGTTCAATTTATTTAATTAATTAATTTAAATATTTTATAACTATATATTTTGCTAGCTGGGGTGGGTGGGAGTTATGGGAAAATGGGGAATTTACTGTTACTGCTGCGTACTGCTAGTTAGGGGTTAACGGTAAAAAAAAAAGCTTAGAAAAATGTTAAATCTGTAAAAAAGTTTTAAGAAAGTTTAGGAAAGTTTAAAAAAAATTTATAAGCAAAACAAAAGTTTAAAAACTAGTTTTTAAAAGTAAAAAAGTTATAAAAAGTAAAAAAATACATTTTAAAAACGCTCATTACCACTACACCTGGAGCAAACTAGAGAAAAAATTATCCCACGCCAAGGTTCAAAATATGCCTTTTGAATTACCCCAGGGTGTATTCTTTAATAAATAGTATGTGTTTGTGGGGAAGTTTCAATAACCAACCGTCTAAACTACTCCAAATTGGAACATGGACACAGCGTAAAACTTCAAAGTTAGAAAAAAACTGAATGGCTGCGTCTCAAATGCGCCCCTTCAACATCCACATATACCTGGCAAAGGTACATACGGGGGTATTGCTGTACTCAGCCGACATAGCTGAGCAACATATGAAGTATTATACAGTCATAGCACACATAAGGTTTGCAAAATATGCTGCGCAAACTCACTTTGTATGTCAAAAAGGCAGAAAAAATGCTTATTACCACTACACTTGGTACAAGCTAGCGGAAAAATGATCCCACGCTAAGGTTCAAAATATGCCTTTTGAAATACCCTGGGATGTCTTCTTTAAGAAATGGTATGGCTTTATGGGGAATTTGGATTATATAGCCTGGTAAAATACTCTAAAATGGGACATAGGCACAGCATAAAAATTCAAAGTTTGAAAAAAACTGGAATGGCTGTGTCCCAAATGTGCCCCTCCGATGTCCACACATACCTGGCAAAGGTACATACGGGGGTATTGCTGTACTCAGCCGACATAGCTGAGCAACATATGAAGTATTATACAGTCGTAGCACACATAAGGTTTGCAAAATATACTGTGCAAACTCACTTTGTATGTCAAAAAGGGCAGAAAAAACGCTTATTACCACTACATCTGGTACAAGCTAGCGGAAAAATGATCCCACGCTA